GTCCCGACGCCCACTGGGGGGTGGCTCAGCGGTCTCATCACCGTCCTCATGCCGCAGTGCCACCTGCAAAAGCAGAGAACGCCCAGTGAAGGTCAGACTTGACATCCTTTCATAGCCCCTGGGGGGCGGGGGGGCGGGCTGTGCACCTCAGGCTCCTCCTAATGAGAATGTACAGTCTCTCCCCAACCTGCAGCCTCCGCTTTGCAAGGTCCTACAGCCACACCCACCCAAAGCCCAGTCTGCAAACTGAAAGACGCCTGCCACTGTGCATTTCCCAATCAATCAGGTACGAAAAGGGCAAACAATGTCCCGAGCAGGTCTGAGGAATGTTCTGTAATCAGATGGCATCTTTACCCTGGAGCCCAGCTTTGCCATTTCTCAGGCCCAGGAGGTAGAGGCCCCTCTGAAGCCCAGTGGTTCCTGATGGTTCCTGAGCTTGCTTTCCCAGTGAGGGAGCTAAGAAGAGCACAGCAAGGATTCTGCGGGGATGGGAGCCACAGGATCCAGGTGAGGGAATAACCTCACCCACAGATCTTTTTTAAGCCTCACCTGAGGACATGTTGAGAGAGAAACATACATCAATATGAGGGAGAGAAACATCGATAGTTTGCCTCTGACCGGGGATAGAACCTGTAACCTAGTATGTGCCCTGACCAGAAATAGAACCCGCAACCTTTTGGTATACAGGATGTTGCTCCAACAAACTGAGCCACCTGGAGATCCATCTGTATCTCCAGCGTCTTTAATTTTTTATGCCTACATTCTCCAAAACTGGACAGTAAGAAGGGCACAAGCTGTCACTGACTAGGCTTTTGTGTACACAGCAAGCTGACTCTGCCATTAACAAACAGGTGTGACCTGTAGCAAATGGCCTGCCCTCTCTCTAGCTCACCAAATGAGGAAAATAGTATTGCATTGGCAGGTTTGTAATAGGAATAACTTACATTAGGGTTATTTATGTAAAGCAGCTAGAGTAGGGCATTCCCTGTGGCTGGTACTCACTATGACTGTCCTTCCCCAACCTATGTCCTCAGATGAAGGGGCCTGGGATACCCACAAATTCCTCCATCACACAGAATTGGCGGATCAGCCACCTCCAAGCCCAGGTAAGCCAGGCCCCACCAAGTCTAGCAGTCTCTCTGACTTGGCAACCACCCAGTCCCTTAGTCTCACGTCCCCAAAGATGCAAGTGATCCAGCCCTTGGGTGTTCTCAGTCACATTTCACAACTTGGTCCTGATATGAGAATGGAGAAGTAATATAAAGACAGAGAGATAATCACACCATATGGCCTATATCACCCATTCTCAGAAAATCTGGCTACTGCAAAATCAATGAACCCCTATGTCCACTGTTCATCAAACAAGGTGGGCTTGGCTGAGTCAAGGCCAGATGGCCACTCTCATGCCGGTTCCGAGGAATGAGCACCTGAGACATGGCTGTTTCACAGGACAGCACCCACCCTTTATCAGCCCCATCTCCATCCCCTCCAGCTCCAGCATCTAGAGAAGGTTGATTTAGTGAAAACTCTTATCTCTGTGCCAGATACATTTTATAATGAACTCTCAGATATAGAAAGGCAATTTAAGATTATTTTGGCTTTTTTGTGTCTCTGAATTTACTAACCAGACATCATTTTGGGGGGGATTGAAGTAAAAATTGATATGAGTTCAGAAAAAGCTCTGTTGTTATAAAATCTCATTGGAAAGTTTGTTCCCTAAGGGTCCCCTGTCTGGTTTAACTGGAAGAACTAAGAAATGATGCATTTGGTTAATCACATTTATCATCTCAACTTTAATGCTCTAAATGGCATTCTCTGGGGAAAGTTTGAAGATGATTATGTACCAAACCAAGGACAGTGTTTTTAAATATTAAATAGTTCCTGTCAATTACTTTTTCTTCATTTTGAGATAAAAATTCTAGACCATTTGAACTTACTCTGACCTGGGTATTGACTCTGCTTCTTATTAAGCACACATTCGGAATAATAAGATTAGGGGCTAAAGTAGAGTTCAGATAGTTCTAATTCCTTGTCTAACCTCAGAGATCCAAAGATCAAATAGCATTTGGCTCCCAGTTCCCTGTGTGAATGAAGTGAAACCCAGTTCAACTGCCTTTTGTCAAGGAAGGTAGAGACAATCAGAGAGTTTAAATGAAAAAAAAAATCTGGAAAAATTATCAAGCAACACCATAAAGTGGAATTCAATGGGGGCCTCTCTAAGTTCAGATCCTCAACAAAACATCCATTTCCTTAAAACAAGAGGAGTGCATGGAGGGGTGGGAGGGGCAGAGCCTTGGGCTTGGCAGTCAGGAACAGAACATGAAATTGGTGCTGATGTTCGCTCATGGTTTTGTTTTTACAAGATAATTCCTAGACTCACCAGTGTCTGCTGATGACAGGAAGAGAGATTTCACATTTACATTAGGGCTATAGTGACAGTTCCAAATTCTTTTGGTTCTAGGGAGCCCTACAGATTAGAGGCAAGAACCCTAAGAGCCAGAAAACACCTGGAGAGGACAGAACTCACTACGAGACGTATTCAGAACCTGTGGTGTGGAATCTAGTTAATCCTAAGTGCAGCAAGTGTTCTCCATGGGTGAGAGCAGCCCTGTCCTGGAAGATCCTTACTCTCGCCCAAATGATGCAGTGATTCATTTGCTGGACCCCTTTTCACTCTTTTAATTAACTGTGGAACACTGTAAACTAAAACCTAGATGAGGAGCAAGCAGATTCCAGAATTGAGCACTGACTGCTTGTACACCCTGCCCCACCCCACTGAGAAAGCAGGTAGGAGTAGTTCAAGGTGGCATCTGCGACAACTCTCACCAGCCCTTGAGGCTACCGAATGACCTGAGCATTCTTTCTAATGTTTTATTGTGGAAATGTTCAAAAGCACACTAAGTACATTGAAGAGTATAAAGACTGTGATATGCTCATCACCTGTGATAACTCAACAGTGATCAACTCCTGGCCAATCTTGTATCATTTACACCCCACTCCCTGTGTGCCCCAACCCCAGTTTTTCTTTAGAGGTAAATCCAAGATCATACCATTTCATTTGTAAATATTTCCACATATATAACCAAAAGATTAGGATTTCTAAAAACCATAACCACTATTCTCTTAAAATAATTTCTTAATATCTAACAATCTCAACATTCCAGATGGAGGCCAAAAGCTATTAGCATTTCTTTGAGTTGATATTGTTACACTACTACTAACATCCATGACTGGCAGCCATCTTTATATAACAGATGCAAGCCTTTTCCATATTGCTATTCCACATCTTTGTTTTAATTCATATGCACACAACTTGATTGAGCTCTTAGGTGAAGTGGATGCCAGTACTGGTACAATTTCAAAAAGGAACTAAATGTCCTGGCTTGTTTGGCTCAGTGGATAGAGCATCAGCCTGCCGTTTTAATTCATATGCACACAACTTAATTGAACTTTTAAGTGAAGTTGATGCCAATCCTGGTACAATTTCAAAGGAACTAAATGCCCTGGCTGGTTTGGCTCAGTGGATAGAGCATCAGCCTGCAGAATGAAGGGTCCCCGGGTGTGATTCTGGTCAAGGGCACACACCGGGGTTGCAGGCTCGATCCTCAGTAGGGGGCATGCAGGAGGCAGCCGATGAATGATTCTCTCTCATCATTGATTTTTCTCTCTCTCCCTCTCCCTTCTTCTCTGAAATCAATAAAAATATATTAAAAGGAAAAACAAAAAGGAACTAAGCTGCTGACAGGTTGTGGCAGACCATAACAGTGCTGGGCTCCCAGAGAATAGCACTTCCCTTATCCTTGTGTAGCCCCCTCCTACACTGAGTCCAGGATTATCCACGTGACTTCCTTTGGCCAATGGGACATCAGCAAATGTGATGCAAACAGAGGCTTGAAAAGTATTGGTGTTTTGGGACTTGCCCTTCTAAAATGCTGCTATCATATGAAGAGGTGTAGGCTAGCCTGGCCCAGCCAACAGCCAGCATCAAATGCCAAACCAGGTTCATCAGGCCATAGACCCTTAGCCCCAGTCCAGCCATCAGATGACTGCAGTTGCATGAGAATCTCTCAGTTGGACCAGGTCTGAATTTCTGACCCACAGAATCATAAACAACACTTGCTGTTTCGGGCTATGAAGTTTTTGGCATATTTGTTATGCCCAAGAGCTAACTGATAGACATTTTTTATCACCTACAACAAAGAAGGATCTTAAGAGATTAACCTAATAGTCAATTATTTCTAAAAGTACCATTTGCCCCTCACCCCCAAAGTCTCCAGCCTTAAGATGCCTTTCCCATTACTAGGACTGCATTTTGAGAATTGAAAGTTAGAACACATAATCTGACAAAAGATTCCTTTTTATTTTGATTTGTGAATTTACGTATTTGTAAAATTATATAAAGCTATAAAAATTCAAATGAATGAAACATCGATTAAATCACCTTTCTGAAATGGAATTAAATTACATGGAATTGGGCCTGTCCCCAGAACGTCCAGGACATATGGTCACCAGATATCTTCCACTATTAGGAAGAATTCTAGAAGCCCAACCAAGTTTTCTTTAATTGCTTACAAACATTCATAGAGGAAAATATTGGCTGTGCTTACAGGCCTCTTTGCTGCCCTGTGTATACTAAATGTAGTTGTCCTGAGGCAATAAATATATTTTTTTTAAACTGCATTAGCTTTCAGAACAAAATAAAAATCCTGGCTTCGCCTGGTATATACAGCACTCAGTTGTCACCTTGAGTTAGTACTCAGGGCATCTTCCCTCTAAGGTTAGCTGCTTTCTGATTAAATCATGCCCTTCCTTCAACCCAGCATCTGACAAACACCTTGTCATAAGACATGTGATATTAAAAGAGACATTTGAGCACTTACTGAACTTCTACTCTGGGCAAGTGTGCTGCTGTGTACTGGAGCTAGAGAGAGGAATGAGACATCTGACGTAGAGTAGCTCAAAGGGAAACAGACAAGCAAGTACTGGTACATCCTGAGGACTGTTCAGTCCAGGGTGTGAACATAAGCAAGTGCTCTTCCCTGGGTTAGAAACAATGTGTAGGGGACAAGCAGCAGGGGCCCCTTTTACCTTGCCAAGGAAACCCCATGGATGCAAGACACCTGAGGTGACTCCCACAGGAGGAGTACGCGTTTGCTAACTTGAGAACTGGAAGGAAGAATATTCCAGGTGCAGAAAAGAGAATGGGTCAAGAGAAGGTCTCCAAAGACCTGTCTTTCACATTTGAGAAAGAGGAGATATTGAACATGGCTGCAACTTCAGACATCTTAGGAATGGCAAAAGGAAAGGCCACATGGGTCTGAGGCCACAGACAGTGTAGGCCCTTGTACTAACTCAAGCAGTTTAGGCTATGTCCTGCTGGCCATGAAAAAGGGTTTCATTCATTCACTCACATATCCATTCATTCACTCACTATTGTTTGTTTTCTTCAACAGAAATGGCATAGTGAGATATGACTCTCAGGGGGATCACCTTGTTTTCAGCTGCAGGGAGTTAGGAAGAAGGAGAGAGCAGAGAAGGCCCCATGGGATGTAGCACCTGCAGGATGCCAACCTCGCCAGCCTCTGCTTTTGCTGCTCTCCCAGGCCTTACCCTCCAGTCACACCAGTCTCCTTTAGACTCTTCACACCTGCCAAGCTGGATTTTCCTCCAGTGCCCTTCTCTACGACACTGTCTCTTTAGGCTGTCATCTCAGAAGGGCCTTCCTCATCCACACCTCAGTTTCTCACCCCACCTCATCCTCTTTTCTTCATGCTCACAATCTCAGATTCTCAGCTGATTCATGTACTTGCTCACTGTCTGCACCCCATTAGAATAAGTGCTCCTTTAGGACAGTGGCCTTGCCTGACTAGGTGGCTGCTGTGTCCCGGGGCCTAGAGTAGTTAATTGTGTGTATCAAGTTGACTGGGTCACAGGATGCCCAGATATTTGGTCAAACAATGTTCTGGATAGGTCTATGCAGGGGGGTTCTCGATGAGATTAACATTCAAATTGCTTAAATGGAGTAAAACGACTGCCCTCCCTGGCATGGGAAGCCTCTTTCAGTCCAGTGAAAGCCTGAGGGGAACACAGGCTGAGCAAGAGAGAATTCGCTTTTTCTGCCCAAGGGCTTTAAGCTGGGACATTGATTTCCTCCTGCCTCTGCACTCCAAGCGGAACTTACATCACTGGCTCTCCTGGGCCTCAGGCCTTCAGACTTCACACCACCCAAGAGGAAACATGTCTCCAGATTCTGTCTCCCACTGGCCATGGAAGGAAACTGGGACGAGGAGGCTTAGCAACAAGGAATGTAATTTGCTCCTCACAAAATGTGCTCCAACCTTCATTTAGAGTCCAGACAATAGTCACATCAGATCAATAACTTGAATAACAGGGAAGCATTTGGCCCACTGGGAGCAATTAGAGCTCAAGTCAACAGGCCATTAAGCTATGATGCACAACCCAAAGCAGGGCCTGCTTCATAGGCATGTGTACAGGACTCCCAGGGCTCTGCTTTCACCATCTTGAAATTCTTATTAATTTTAACTTTAAATTTGGTTTTGTAAGTGAAGTCCAGTAGGACGATGGAGCAGGTGCATGCTGGAGGAAGTAGGCGCAATATGCATGTCTGCCATTCCACACGCCCATGAGTATAGAGTTCCGGTAGACCCTGATACATGGGCGTTCAGTGAGACGACAAGTGGTAATGCAAGGGTTCTATCCTACCCTTTCTCAACAGTGTTACTTTCCCATATTAGCCAACCACTTATGCTGAAATGATAACATATAAAAAAAATGAGAAGATAGGACAGCCCACAGTTCGTTTTCCTTTTAGCCTTCCTTAGTCATCAGTGAATTGAAGATAGAGTGTTGACAGAATGAACACATACCAAGAAATGAAATAAAAATAGCTGAGCTAGTTTTCACAGTTCTTCCCTGTTCCGGTAAGAACAAAATACCTGTGCGTGCAGGAGGGGCAGACTCCACATTCTGCTGATTCTGCACACAGGCTAGAAGCTCTTATAATTGCTTTTTCAACGGGCAGTGCACAATATCAATGAACAGTAAAACTCCTGCTGATACTTTAAAATGTTAACTTTTCTGTCCTTACAATGACATTAACAGCAAATAAAAAGACACCACAACAAGGTGAAAAGGACCAGGGAAGAAAGTAAAAAGATGTTTAGTATTTTTAACAGCAGTATTCCCCCTTTCATTTTTATTTTGCCCTACAAATTATGTAGTAGGCCCTGCCTGAAGTTAAACCCCTACTCAGTGTAAGAAATATGACCTGTCTTCTCTCTCTCTCTCTCTTCTTTCCTCAGCCTGAATGAAAGTACTGCTGATAAGATGCATGTTCTTTAAATTAAAATAGCAATAAATAAATAAATAAGCAAGGAAGCAAGTTACCAAGTTTCTGCTAGATCAGCGCTTCTCCCACTTGAGCGTGCTTCACAATCACCAGGAGGCTTGTGCAGACAGACTGCTGGGCCCACCCACAGAGTTTCTGATTCAGCAGGCCTGGGCCTGGGCCTGGGCCTGGGCCTGGGCCTGAGAACTTGCACTGGGAAAAGCGCTGCTGCAACACACTTGGAAACACAGGTCTAGAGTATGTTGACCTTGGCCTCTGACATCTGTCCAAGCTGGGAGATGCCTTACAAAAGGCATGTTCTGTTACCTCATAAATGTTCAACTGCTCCACTAAGTCCAGGTCAGTCCCTTTCTTGTTCAAGTGCCGCTGGGACACGGCCGCAATGCCCAGCTCCTCCAGGCAGTCCACCACGTCGTAGAAGGTATCTTGGTCTGGCAATCCTGACAACGTCTGGATGGAGAAAGAACAGGACACAGACATGTCTTAGGGAACTGTCTCAAGGCCCTCGGGGCATTGTTTTACATGGTTGCCAGTGGCCGTGATTATAACATTATGGGGGCAAAGGAAGACAGATAACAAGTTCAGTTGAGAAAAAACGTTCTGTGGCGTAAGCAGCATGAACCCCAAGATCCCACCCCGTTAGTCAGGTGCTCTGTACTCCCCTCTCCTTGAGTGTAGGCAGAACACTCCCATGCCTGGGTTCCATTACATGGCAAGGGTGACGGAACTTTACTGATGTCATGAAGGTCCCAAATCAGATGATTTTGAGTTCATCAACGGGGAGATTAGCCTGGGTGGGCCTGACCTAATCAGGTGAGCCATTTAGAGTGGGCTAAGGCCTTTCCTGAGCTCAGTGTAGGAGAATGATTATCCTGCTGGCTCCGAAGCAGCAGCAAGCCACCATGAGTCCTACAGCTGCAAGGAAGTGAGCTCTGCCAACAACCACAAAGCTTGGAGGAGGACCCCAGGCCTCAGATGGGACTCCAGCCCCAGTCAACACCTTGACAGCAGCTTGTGAGGCTCTGAGCAGAGGACCAGGCAGGCAGTGCTGGACCCCATCCCATGGAAACTGTGAGGTGATAAATCTGTGCTGTTGTAAGCTGCTAAGTTTGTGGTAATTGGTTACATGGCAATAGAAAACCAACATAGTCAGTGACCGGCAACTCCTGTTAAGATCAATCTACTGCCCTAGATGGTTTGGCTCAGTGGATAGAGTGTTGGCCTATGGACTGAAGGGTCCTGGTTTCAATTCCAGTCAAGGGCACATGTCGGGGTTGCAGGTTTGATCCCCAGTAGGGGGCGTGCAGGAGGCAGCCGATCAGTGATTGTCTCTCATCATTGATGTTTCTACCTCTCCCTCCCTCTCTGAAATCAATAAAAATATATTTTTAAAAAATCAATCTACCAATAGCTGGAGTGATAACAATGTAATGGTTTTTTTTTTCTTCCAATTTGGTAAGCCTTCCTTTGGTCTGTGAAATTTGGGAAAACATGAGAAATTCCAAAGCAGCAACCTAGAGACAAATAAATACATAAATAACCCAAGAAAGAAACAGCCGACTTCTCTGAATTCTACCTCTCTTACAAGAAGGATGATCTCAGACCAGGCCTCTGCTCAGCACTGTAAAGACCTTTAGCCCAACTGGCCTGGCTTAGTGGTTGAGCATTGACTCATGAACCAGGAGGTCATGGTTCCATTGTTCGATTCCCGGTCAGGGCACATGCCCAGGTTGTGGGATCCATCCCTAGTAGGGGGCATGGAGGAGGCAGCCGATCAATGATTCTCTCTCTCTCTCTCTCTCTCTCTCTTTCTCTCTCTCTCAAATCAATAAAAATAAATATTTAGAAAAAAAGAAAAGAACTGGAAGGACTGTTGAAGTGACTTACTACAAGTCTTTTATCTTATGAATGAGGGAGATAAAGACCTGGAGGGAAGGAGTTAGCCTGAAGGAAGTTACTGAAGGCCTAGGACAAACTTCTCTCAGAGCTGCTATTCTCATCTCCTCACACACTCATGCCTTCTACACAAGTCATTCTGGCCTTCAGTTTCAGACACAGACCTTTAGTCCCTATTTATTTCACTACCTTTGCATTTCTAAGAACCCTGCATATACATTTCAAAATTATTGTAAACATGGAGACTGCCCCAAGAGAAAAAAACCCCAATACTTTCCTAACGATCTTTTCACAACACCACTTCCCTAACACTTCTAGTTTGGGGTTATTAATATTGGAACGAATGTCTTTATTCATAATGCAAACAAAGTCTTTTTCCTTCCCAGGCTGAGCCAAGTGGACACGACTCACTGTTACTGACATCAGAAATGAATGAGAAATAACTGGGATCCAGTTCATTCGTCAGGGGCCCCAGGGAGGCCAAGGAGCAGGAGGCTGTGAACCAGATGAAGCTATAATCAATGGTGCACGCACCTGAGTGGCCAGGTGTGCCAGTGCGCTCCAGTGTCTGCAGGCGCCAGGCCAGGCAGTCCCTGAGGCATCAGCAGGCACACCAGCCCACTGGACGGCCTGGCTCCCAAAGCTACCTGAAAAAGTGGGCACCTGCACAAAGAAGGCTACCATCAGAACAAGCCCATCCTTTGGGTTCAGTCTCTAGAACTTGGTTAGAGGATGAGGAGGTGGAAATGGCGACACCAAGGCCAGGGCAGGGCTGATGGCGGGAGGTGCCCTGACTGCTGACTGTGCCAAACACACAGTTGGAGGAATGCGGTGAGTTGATGTTTGGTGTCGGATTGAAAGCTTTCTACACAACAGTGCGAGGCCAGGATTAGGCACCGAGAGAGGCCTCTGGCAGTGTCCTCATCTCTCTGGTCCCCTCCTTCTTTCCTTTTTCCCTATTGAGTTCTGCTCAGAAGTTTCCAGGGGGTTGAATTCCTTGATCTAATCCCCATCCCTCTAGCAGGCCCAACCATGATTGGTTGGGAAGATTACTATCAAATAATTAAACAAATAGGTCTATGGAACCAAACAGGCTCACAGAGCCTTGGCTCAAAAACAGGCCCAGAACTGAGTGTATTAAGAGGTCTTTGGTCATTTCCTGTGAAAATGTGGGTTTGAGCCAAGCCTGCGTTCCTTGCCTTTCATGTGTGGCTGTGGCTACACGGGAGGCAGCTTTCGCTGCAAACACATACAGCTTCTTTCTCCGCCTGCCCAGGAGGGGACTATACATCTTAGAAACACATTCACCTATTTTCAGCTATTCTCTAACGTGCTGGGCCATTTTGCCATACACCCACCTCTCCCCAAGCCCGCCCTCTCATCTCTCCCCTGACACCTCACTGCCACGGTGCCTCCTTCTGGCAAAGGTGGCAGCTCCAGAACTGTCTGCGAGGAAAACATCTCCTGCCGCCTTCACGCTCAGGTGACACCTCATGGCCTGCTTCCTGCTTCCCCTCAGATCTTGTCTTCCAGACCTCGTGACAACTAGATCTTGACGGGCACCTAACGGACATTTTCTTTTCCTCTCCAGGGGTTTTCACTGATTCCATCTGATCTTTCTTGTAGGATAAAGCCAGTGTGGCCAAAGCCTGAACACAGATGTTTGTAGCAGCATTATTGGTGAAAACCAAAAGCTGCAAACACCCCAATCTCCTTCAGTGGGGGGGAGAGATAAGCAAACTGTGGAGTATTTACAATGCACATGCCCAGGAGCAGGAAGGAGAGAGCTGTCAGTACAGCCAGTAACAGACAAACCTCTCCCACTGAGAGAAGACAACCTCAAAGGGATACAGCCCATCCGATTCCATGTAATATTCCTGAAATAACAACACCATTGTGATAGAGAATAAATCAGGGTTTGTCAGGGGCATGAACGGGGACCAGGATGTCATTATAACAATAGAGAGGTTTGCGGGGAGATGTGCTCGATCCTAATTATGAAGGCCATCCACAACTATGTATGTGTTAAAACATATACAGCTAAATACCAAAGGGAAAAAGCCAATGTTCTGTATAGTAATTTAAAAACAATAAAATAAAATATAAAAACATAAGCAAATACTAAGCATGAATCCCATCTAGGTTACCTACCCCTTAGCCCTGCTAGAGCAGCACCCCTGCCTGGGTTCCCTGACATCCTCCTTCCCCAACACTCCAGCCAGCCCCACGGTAACACCCCTGTTGCTCAGGCCTCACCTGACTCATCCTATTCTATGAGGTGGCCAGTATCTGGCCCACTGAGGGAATTTCAGCTGGATCAGGACAGGACACTACAGTGGAACTTTGGCTCTTGAGCTTAATTTGTTCTGGAAGGCTGTTTGAGAAACAATTTGTTCAAAAATAGAATGATTTTTTTCCCATTAGAAAAAATATAAATTGAATTAATCCTTTCCAGACCCCTAAATGATTCCTTTCTTTAACCTTTCTTATATGCAGTGCATGTCTAATGTACTTTTAAATCTATAAACAACACTTCTTAAATTTAACGAACCACCCCCTACCAGCCTTAAAGGAACCACATTCAGCACTCTCTCCAGGGGGTGTCTCTCAGGAGGTCAGCAGGCGGCATCTTCGCTTTTTCACATGTCACTGCCTCCGAAATGCTGCCACTGGCTAACTGTTTTTCCTTTATCCAAATCAACAATATCTTTTCTGCCTCTTCAATTGCCCTTCACACCTTAGCAGCCTTAGTACTCTTAATAGCCTCTTTATGTTTTAAAATTGTGCTAATCATGCACTTGCCAGCAACAAAAGCACCACACACACAGACACACACACACACACACACACACACACACACACACACACACATTCACAGCACACTTTCCTGAGATGTTAACAAGGCAAGGTTTAGCTGTAAACTGACTCATACTGGTGCATTCTCTCCTTTGTTTGTGGCCTGAGAGAAGTTAACCCAGACATTTTTTTCCGTGAACAACTTGGCTGAGAACCAAATTGTTCAAGATGGGAGACTTTCGAGAACCAAGGTTTGACTGTATATAACTTCAGCTTGCAGGGTAAAAAAAATAGTTTCTGAAACCCCTCAATCTTTTGACAACATGGGTGGAAGGTGGGGAGGAGGATGGAGGGGGATTAGTCTGGATCTTGGAAACCCCCCATTCATGCCCCTGTTTAACAAAGGGAGACTTCAGTCTCAGAACCATGAGCAGGCTAGAATTTAGTCCCCTTGTTTTGTCATAAAACTGTTAACTTTTTGAATTCTGTGTCATTAGGACATCTTTTACTCTATTGAAACAAAAGTTAGAAACCCACTATAATAATTTCCTAGATTTCAGAGTGTAAATTTTTTCCAGAACCACGTAACATTTCACTGAATTGTTTTGTTTGGGATCTTAGAGGATTTTACTCACTGGGCAATAAACATGACTAAAACTCAACAACAGAAAACAAACCCAGCGTGGGTGCCAGCTGTCTGCTGACCTTTTTGAGGAAAAGATGACATTTGGAGTAATGTCCTGGGGACCTGCCTGGACTTCCTCTGGGCCAGAACTAACAAAAGATGAGACAGAAATGCCAGAAGAGAAAGAGTAAGCGAGGAATTCCTGGACATTAAATGCTGTCGGATGCCAAGGAGAGTCTGACACGCACTGGGTCCGTGCCGGGGATTGGCAGCAGAATGGCCACACCATGCGAACGCTGCCAGGGCCATCAGAACAGCTGGGCATGGCCGCCACCAATAAAACAGATAACATTACAGTGGAAAACACTCAGCAAGAGAGAAAATTCCATTTTTGCTGAACTCAGTGTTTTCCAAAACAATGTCAGTGACTGAAGATGACAGGAAATTGATGACATTAATCTTTAAAACCCAACAGAAAATTGCTTTAAAATTGCATGGTAAAATAAGCTCACAGATTTAAAAATAAAAGCAAAATTATCATCTACCAAAAAGTGGTGCTCATTCCCCACTAGGACTGTCATAGAGGTTGCTGAGCCTCACCAGCAAACGCCTTTCGTTAAAAAGCAATCACTGACTCCGGGAAATGTTGTTTTCCTGTACATTTCTTTTAATCTCAGTAGGTTTAATGCTATTACTTTTTCCGCTGTGTTCTTAATATATTTAGGACAGTATCATTTTCTGTCCTATTTTCTACTAACAATTTCCTAGTCTGTCACTTGCCTTGAGCTTTTATTTGTGGTTTTCATTTTTAATGATAAGACCTTAGAGCAGTGATGGCGAACCTATGACACGCGTGTCAGAGGTGACACGCGAACTCATTTTTTTTGGTTGATTTTTCTTTGTTAAATGGCATTTAAATATATAAAATAAATATCAAAAATATAAGTCTTTGTTTTACTATGGTTGCAAATATCAAAAAAATTTCTATATGTGACACGGCACCAGAGTTAAGTTAGGGTTTTTCAAAATGCTGACACGCCGAGCTCAAAAGGTTCGCCATCACTGCCTTAGAGAGTTGTGTGCACTGAAATATTTAAGTCCTTTCCTTCGGAATTTTTCTTGACTGGTTGTATTGTTAATGTAACCTTTACCTACCAGAGACCAATTAATCTTTTATGTTGAGGTGTTTTTTTTTCCTCGTTTTTCTATGGCTTGATGTGTTACAATGAACTCTTGAATTGATCCGGAATTTATTCTGGTAGATGGACAAAGTTTTTGTTTATTTCCATTTAGCAAGACCTCCCGATCATGAACAAGCTAACCCACCCCCTTTGATGTCAGTCACAGCATAAGAAGTTCCATGCATTGGGCCATTTCACAGTTCCTCCGCTCCCCTCCTCTGCTGAGGGAGGAGCCAGGACCACACTGCTTTACCGTTGGAGTTTGCACATCTTTTTTTTAATGGTACATTGACTTTGGAAGATAGTTTTGTAGTTTCTTTTTTATATATATTTTATTGATTTTTTACAGAGAGGAAGGGAGAGTGAAAGAGAGGTAGAAATATCGATGGGAGAGAAACATCAATCAGCCGCCTCCTGCACACCTCCTACTGGGGATGTGCCCGCAACCAAGGTACATGTCCTTGACCAGAATCGAACCTGGGACCTTTCAGTCTGCAGGCCAATGCTCTATCCACTGAGCCAAATATCTAGTAGAAGCTACTCCTTGCAATGACGCTGCTTTCTACTAACCTGTCCCCAGTTCATGAGGGAAAATATTTCTCCTGTTATATTTCAGGAAGAGATATGGGGTTTGCCATGTAGGCCTATACCCCGCAGCTTGAACAGTACACAGGCCTGCCCGCGGTGGGGCTGATGAGGGGCTGAAGGCCTGCGGTGGGGCTACACCTGGTCTAGGGTATAGCGATCTGCAAAAAAATAACCACCTGACCCCAGCCTCAGTGATGAAGGACTGAGCCACCACCATGAAGGAAGTCCAGTCCCAAAAGTGGGTTGTCCCAGGCCAGTGTGAGACCGACCCTTGGCCAGAGCAGCATCTCTGAGAATGAATCCTGAAGACTCCGACTGCCCTCCAATGTGGTGACCAGGGAGGGACATGACAGAAAGGTGTCACCGTCATAGAAGAAGGATGGGACCCACTCCCAGGAATCTCATCTCAGGCCCCAGCAGTCAGAATTCAATAAGCAGTGCAGTAAGGGTGCCTTCATTTCTCCTGACTGTGAACACTTTCCTTACAGTAAAACATACTCATTAATTGCTTAAGGAAAAATGTTTTCAAGGGGAAATCTTGATAGGAAAAGTGGTCATAAAATTCCTGCTATTAGAAAAGACCTAGCCCTGGCTGGTTCGCTCAGTTGGTTAGAGCATTGTCCAGATACATCAGGGTTGCAGGTTTGATCTCTAGTCAAGGCACATACAAGAAGCAACCAATGAATGCATAGTGAAACAAATTGATGTCTCTCTCTCCCCCTCCCTCCACTCTTTCTCTCCCTCCCTCCCATTCCCTCCCCCTCTCTCCCTTCCTTCCTCTCTCTAAAATAAATAAATAAATATAAAATTTTAAAACAAAAAGGCAAAGAGCAAAGCACCAGAAGCAAGCAGACACTCACAGGGCTTCACACAGGTGTGCATCAGCACGCGGGCACACACACCGTGTGTGAGTGTAAAGGGTTTTCTCCTGTGAAGAAGCACACCTCGACCATGGTTCCAGCCACCATGAGGGGGTCCACAGGACGCGGCTCTTAGTCAGAGGGCACATTTTAAACTTCCACACTGTAGAGCAAAGCACCAGAAGCAAGCAGACACTCACAGGGCTTCACACAGGTGTGCATCAGCACGCGGGCACACACACCGTGTGTGAGTGTAAAGGGTTTTCTCCTGTGAAGAAGCACACCTCGACCATGGTTCCAGCCACCATGAGGGGGTCCACAGGACGCGGCTCTTAGTCAGAGGGCACATTTTAAACTTCCACACTGTCTTAGTTCCCTAGGACTGCCATAACTAATTACCACAAACTGGGCGGCTGAAACAACAGGGATTGATCCTGTCATAGTTTGAGACTAGAAGCCTGACAACAAGGTGTGGGCAGGGTCCTGCTCTCTCTGAGGGCTCTAGGGGAGGGTACTTCCTTGCCTCGCCCTAGACTGGCTGCTGGAAATCCTGGCATTCTCTGGCATCACCTGGCTTAGAGATGTATCACTCGAATCTTTGCCTCTGTCTCCATATGGCTGCCTTCTTCATGAGCACATGTGTACATCTTTCCTTCTATGTGTTTCTCTTTCTGTCCTTAAAAGGACAGCAGTCATAATGGATTAGGGCCCATCCACATGACTTCATCTTAGCTTGATTACATTTGCAAAGACCCTATATTTTCAAGTAAGGTTACATCCACAGGTACCAGGGATAGGACTTCAACATAGCTTTGGGGGGAAACAGTTCAACCCATAACAAACATTGACCAACCTTGTTCACTAAAGTCATCGCATAAACTAGCAGCTCTGTGTCGACCCCGTCTTTTTCCTCCAAGATTTCCATGATATTTGACCAGGGTACAACTCCTGCGAGTAAAGCAAAAATCATTAGGAACAGCAATTCAGCATTTCCCATCCAACTCACTTCAGAGTTTATCTAAAGGCTCTTCACCCAAAGATGGCATGTCCTTCAGTCACTGAGTATCACAGCATGACACAGATTTTGAATTAGGTGACAATATACCACATTATCCTTCTGCACTTGAAAATGTATATTCTTCAGAGTCAGGAGGCCCAACAATTTGCTTGAAAGTTCCCATCACATGAATTACGTAACTTTTAAGAATGCATTCACACACAGCTTTTTAGGCCATGCGTTTCACTTGCTGAGTGCAGAAACCCTAATAAGTTCTCTCTGTGCATCAGCATGCTACAGTCTGATCTCCTGCAAGGAAAGGAGATGTGGGAGGTCTTCCCATTCACGTGGGCTCTAAGAACTGACAGTGAAATGCCCATCTAGCAAACATTTCAAGAACAGAAGTATATTATCCCTGTGTAATCAAGCACAAATACGACTTAAGCAGAAACCAAGTAGAAGGAACTGGGTCTAGGAGGAGGCTGCCATCAAGAGTTTTATAATCTAATAGAGCAGTTAGGCCTAAGTACAAGAACACATGTCCACACAGAGTAAAGGCACGCACATCGGCACTGCCAGGGCCAAGGCCACAAAGGGGATGCATGCCCCTGACCCACTTCCTGTGCCTGAGACAAGCATGTGAAGTGAAGTGTCGCTTTGCCCATGGCGTGGCTGGGTGGAACAGGAAGCTCTTTCCTCTTTCTTTCTACAGACCTCAAATGATAATGCTCATTTTTTGCTGATAAAAGTAAATTCTGAAGTAATCCAAAGCCAGTGGATTCTAAATGCTTGTTCTTGGATGGGTTGTGTCAGAGCTGAAATGTCTACAGAAAAGTCAATGGAGATCTTTGAGGGCAGGAAGTGGGTTAAGCTGGTGAAGTTGTAAGAGAACCAGAGGGTCAATGCACAGTCAGAAAAAGAGAGAAGACAGGAGAATTTAAGAAGGGAACAGGCACCTACTATACAGTGTGGAAGACACAGATGTCGTTTGATGTAGATCTCTTGGCTCTCCCAGCAAGTGAACAGAAAGCCCGATCCTTCCGCCAAGTTGCCCAGTTGGTCAGAACCAGACAGGCTGCCATAACCCTTTCTAACTCTGGACACAAAAGCATGATCCTTCAACCATTAACTGCTGAATGATCTTCTTGCTGGTACTTATCATCAAACTATGTTGAAGTCCTCACCTGTTCTTCAAACCCCAGCAAAGTAACCATTTCTGCCCTCGGGACAGCCAATCAATGTGGTTAGCAGGTCTTGGGCCTCACTGTCTGGGTGCAGTGCTTGTGTTCATAACAAAGGCAATTTCTATTATTCACACTCGGCACCCAACCTCAGCAGAAAACACATGTTCTAGTCAGTCAGCCACGTATGGTTAAAAGGCAGACTGTGCAGGAGAGAAAGCATTGAAGCTAAGAATTTCCAGTGGTGCTGGTGGGCCCAGAACTGCCTCCTAATTGCACACTTTGAAGCCAAAGATGCCAAACCAAGCCTGGGATAGAAAGGCCAAGAAGCAAAGGCAAGCATCTAGTAGAAAGGGAAGTAGCCAGGTTATTCATTCTCTCTCTCTCTCTCTCTCTCTCTCTCTCTCTCTCTCTCTCATAGAGGCCAATACAATGGTGCACCATTGTGTCCTTTATGATGAAAACACCCAAATACTGTCTTAATTTAATTGAAAAACGTGATATTTAGCTATGATATCTCATTCTCTACTACTATTTAAGGATTTCAAGTTTGGAAACTAGAATATATTCATACACTGTTGGGATGAATGTTCATTCTGCTTTGTTTGGGGACCAGAAAATGGGAAATATTTAGAAGAATGAAGGTAAAGGGGAGGAAACATTTTGGTTCCACACAGCAGCCTTGGCCGGGCTCAAGCTGGCCTATGTTAAGCACCAGCCGCTACGACGTGCCCAGGAGCTGCCACCTGCCGGAACTAAGTGGCCCAGTTCACCCAGCACTACAGTGATTATGTGTGTGGGGGTGGGGTGGGGAGGAGTAGGGAGTGGGGGTCCTGTTTTAGAGTCATAAATCATATCATCTGACTCCTTCACATAACAGAGAAAGAAACAGAGCCCCAGAGTGGTGGAATGTACGGTGGCTCAGCAAATGCATCTAAATTGGAGTGATGGTATCAATCTCATAGGATTGCTGGGAGGTATCATGGAGATAAAGCCCTTGCTTGGCCTTTTTGCCTTAGCACTGACCAAGCACATGAGAAGGCAATAAGTTACTTAACCATGATTAGCTGTCTCTCTCCAACTCCACCCCCAACCCCTGGAGTGAGTGTAGGCTCAACAAGAGCCTGTTTATTTATCTGCTGTTTCAAGCACACAGTTGGTATTTAAACATTTGTCAAACAAATTAGTTTTATATAAAAATTTCTTAGCATAGAGCCTGTTACGTGGTAGGCACTAGAATATCAGTAGCTATAATTGTAATGGTGGCTGGGGGTGTGCTGACACTCCCAGAGGACAGGCTCCTAGGCCAGTACTCTCTTAACCCAGAATAAATAACTGTTCGATACTTTCCCCCTTTTATTTTCCTCCTAGGTCTCCGAATTAAACCCCAAAGAAAATAAGATATTTAGCACAATGCCTTGTACACGAGTTGGTCTCATACCCAAACAGAAGGTCCTCATGGTATGTTCCACGTCTTTCAACACAATTGATGAACACACTTAACACACATACTTCGGCTATAAATAATAATGGGAATAGGGCTGGTGTTCTGTCATCCCCTAAAACCCACTATGCTTTGTGCATTCTTCGAAGATCCATACATCCTGAGCAGAAATCAGAGACAGGAGAGCTTGAAAGGATGGCGGGACAGTTTCCCCTGTTAATCATGTGTGCTACACATGCTGGAGAATTAGGTCATATCTCATCACCTCCCATGCAAATGAAAAATGGAGCTTCTTCAAAAGCAGCGCTGAACCGAATTGGTGCTGACTCATCATTTACAATGGAAATTTCAAAAGGGGTTACCCAGTCTGGTCACTTGCCCCACCCTCTGTCTGAGGGGCAAACCCATATAGTCAGAGGGAAGGACACCCTTCCCAGGGCTGCAGAGGGTTTGCAACCAGTTTCCTGTCCATCACCAGGGGGAATTCTCAAGGAAAGGAGGCAGATGACAAAGCAAGGCCCTCTCATGGGCTTCTGGAAGAATCACTGCCTCTCTATCTTTCTGCCAGGCTCTGAGAAGGTGACTTGGAGATTCAAGCCAAAGAGAAGATGACCCAGCAGTCTGAGCAGATGGGTGTGTCTGCTTTAAAAACATTGTTTTCTTTCCTTTTCTTTCTTTCTTTTTTTTCTTTCTTTCTTTTTTTTACAAGTTGGGAAAAGACGGTCATCACTTTGTCTTGGGGGAGAGACTGAGTAGAGCTCAGAGCCTCCTTGTTGTGCCCCAGAGACTACCTCGAATCCACCTTTTCATTCCAGCCCCGGAGCAAAAGTGCCAATTGTCTGGATCAAACAGGGCATTTTAGATTTTCATTAATTCATAAATATTGATCAGTCCCCATGATGGACTTAGACTCCTCAGCTTTTATGCCGGCTCCCTAACTGGCCCACTTTTGGCCAAAGGGCAAACTATCTACACACACATAATGAACCCTCTGGTTAACCCAGGCATGATGTGTGTAAAGCAACCAGGAGGATTTATCCTAAGAGAATTTCATTGGCTTCTGGTGGTAGTAATTTTTGAGAACTCCTAGCTTATTTGCTGATTCTTTAAATCTGAGAGTTTTTATCATCCAAAAGAATTCCTTTCTATTCAAGCAAACCCAGTCTATATTTTAATATACCCATTCTCCACCCCATCTCCCCAGAGGAATGTGTCTAACGCCACCTGAGGAGTAAAATTTATGGCTTAAGCTTGTGCACAGTGGACATGCTTGGCTGGCCCTCATCACCTCTGGCACCTCTGCTCTCACCGGCCGAGGAGGAAGTGGAGAGCTGCTTCCACACCTACCGGTGGAAACACACCTGGGAGTCAGGGGCTCTCTGCAAACACCATGATATATGTATATGTTTAATTCCACCACCGGGTTCAGGAACACTGACTAGCAGTAAAATAGGATGATGTTATATGCGTGCATTATGGCCAAGACCACACATGTCCATAGAGGAATGTGCTATTGGACCACATGTGATAAACTACACGTCTCAATTTGTTCCACTGGTGATATTCCTTCTTTTCTTCCAGCTGCTAGTGCTCAGGAGCAGACAGATGACAGTAGTTGCCCAAAACTTAAGAAATTTTACAGGCAAAAAACCATGAAGTAAACTATCCGTTAACTTGCTTAATTTTTTCCCTTTGTTTTTTTACTTTTTTTTACAAGTTGGGAAAAGATGGCCATCATTTTGTCACGGGGGAGAGACTGAGTACAACTCTGAGCCTCTGGCTGAGCCAGTGGATGGAGTCTTGAATGGGACGTCAGGCTCTGAGTTCATCTCAGGACCATTCCTCTACCCCATGACACACCTTCATGAAATGTGAGGCTCAAGGAAGGAAACAGCTCCCAACTCAATGAAGTCAAAGCACAACCCCAAGGTCATGAGAAGACTGGCCCCTCTAACACGACGCCCATGACAAGGGCCCATGGGTTACCCAGAATTTAGGACAGGAAGCTGAAGAGTCCACTCATCATTCTAAAGTAATCCCCAGAGTTGGGTGTCAAGCATGACTCCTCTAAGCATGAATGAAAGGATCTGCCTCGCTATCTTCCCAGACACCCACCTCTGGCCCTAACTCTCATTCACTGGCCTTGAGAAACCTCTCTCCTTGTCCCCTGCTTCTGAGTCACTGGCAGTCTTCATTGAGGATTCTCAGCTGGCCTCATGATCTACTATTGGCCATAAGGAATTTCAAATCTGGTACCAGATGACAACATGCTGTGGTAGAAAGAAACACACAGACCTGTGCTGGTCTGGAGCCCACCTTCCAGGCTCACAGCCCTGACCGTGCATGAGGTTCTTCTCTGTCACACACATCCACACAGAGGCCCGGAGCTGCCCCGGCCTGAGATCCACCGTGCATGGAGCTGACATCTGCCTGCGCATTCATGGGAAAGGTATGGGGGCCCAATTTATGGTTCTGGATGGTTTTCATTAACTTACATTCCGATTTTCAAAGAAACCAGTGATCTACTTTCTTTCACCTTTGAATTTAGCCCTGGAAGGTGTGTCTAGTTGTATCTCAGCTGATTTGTGCATAAATCTGTGCAGACACACTTACACCATAAGGAAATGTACCCCTGTGTTAACACGATTTCTGTCTGGTGAGATGAGAGGTGATTCTGCTATTGTCTGCTTTATACTGTTTTTTCCCCCCAAAATTTTCTACAGAGAGCATTGCTGTTATAATCATAAAAAGAAAATAAATGTTATCAAGTTTTTGATCATCATCATCACCTATCTTACTGGGGAACAAAACTAAAAGTTTGTTTTTTAAAAGGACAAAACAAAACAAAAAAACCTTCAACATCTTGGTTTCAGGCTTCACAATATTATAGGGTCCACAGCATGTTACACACTGAACCAGATCCAAAGCTGACTCTTCGTTAAGTGTGCAGGGCAGGCCCGCTAGACACTGGGACACCAAGAGGAGAGCCAGGCACCCTGTCCTCAGGCAGGGCACACACTCAGGAGAGACGGGCAATGAAAACAGCACAGCAGAGAAGGGGGGCGCATGGGGGCACTGAGAGTACATGGCTGTCTGAGCCAAGGGAGGGGCGTGTGGTGCAGGCCAGGTGGGAGACAGACACATGGCAGGTAGACAGGGGCTGGATGGTACAGGGTCAGATGAAGGGCTTGGATCTAATCCTATGGGCACTGGAAGCCACTGGCAGGTATCAGATGGAAAATGGTGAGACCAAATTTGTGCTTTAGAAGAATCCTCCAACTGCAGAGGCCAGCGTAGCACCTGGGGCTGGCAAGGGACACCAGGTGAGAGACGGTGAGGGACCCCAGTAGGGAAGGGACATGTGGTGGAGGGGAGGGAACATCTAGGGGTCAGAGTGGATAAAGCCTGTGTAAAAGGAGGGGAGGAAGGAGCCAGGACAGGATGGGAAAGGAGGAGAAAGACCTGGTCCTGTGTGTGCTCAGTGGAGGGGGACAGAGTGAGAAGACAAGCTCAGAGCGAGTGCTTTTCTTCCCCTGCAAACCTCGCTCTGTCTCTAATCTTTATATATTCACTATGGTTCCTGCAGTGGGAGGTCCACACAAAGGGAATTCTGTTTATCCTAATTCTGTTTTGAACGTGTAAGAAGTGGGAGTCTTCCTACATCAGACAATTTCCCTTGATGAAATCAGGGGGCGGGGACCACTCACCTCTTTTAGTGTCCACAGCAGAGACCGCCTGGATCAGAAGGGGCGCGTTGGACTCCGAGTACTCCACAAAGACCAGCAGCAGCTTCAGGGCCGTCTTCACCACCAGGCGGAACTGCGCAGAAAAGACACCATCACGGGGGGCACACACAGCCCCTTGCACCCGAAGGCATCGTCTCTAACAGCAGCGGACACCACACATGCTTCGGCCCAGGCGCTCTTCTCAACAACTACACAGGCTTCATCCCGGGGGCCTCAGAAGGCAGGCATTAGAATTATCCCCACTGCACAGATCAGGAAACTGAGGCACGGAGCTGCCCAGGAATACACCCATAAAATAGAACCCAAATTTGAAGCCAGGGCCTTTGGTCCCAGAGCTCACACCCAGGATCTCTCAATACCCCAGGCAGTGGTGGCTGAGTCAGTTACAGTAGTTCCCCTTATCCGTGGGGATACGCGCCAAGATCCCGAGTGGATGCCTGAAACCACCAAGGGTACCGAACCCTTCATACTATGTTTTTCCCTATACATACACACCTACAATAAAGTTTAATTTATAAATTAGGCACAGTAACAGATGAACAACCTATAATAAAAAGGACAACTATAACAATATACTATAATAAAGTTAGATGAAAATAGTCTCTCTCTTTCTCTCTCTCTCTCTCTTATTGCACTGCACTGACTCTTCTGATGTAAGATGACACAAGACCTACGTGATGAGATGCAGTGAGGTGAACGAAGCACATGTTATGACGTAATGTTAGGCTACTATCAGGGCCACTTGAACACAAGCACTGTGATACTGTGACGGTCCTTCTGACAACTGAGCCGGCTGCTCCACGACCACCAGGCAGGGAGTGTATCTACAGTGTGGATCCACTGGACAAAGGGATGGTTCACATCCCAGGTGGGATGTAGCAGGACAGCACAAGATTTCATCACACTACTCAGACCGGCAAACAATTTAAAAGTTATGAATTGTTTATTTCTGGAATTTTCCATTTAATATTTTCAGAATGCAGTTGAGCATGGGTAAAAATCACAGAAAGCAAAACCGCAAGTAAGGGGGGAATACTCTACTTCGTTTTTTCTAGACTAGAGCATTGTAGAGTAGGAATGATCAGAATTCTCATTTTTTTGGCAAGGACACAGGGACAGCAGATTAAATGGCTTGTCTGAGGTCACGACAGCTAGGTCAGGTGAGCAGGCATCTGAACCAAGTCCGGTCATAAACTGAGCAAGTGAGGCCATCTGGGGCCTTAAAACCCACACTGGTTGGGCCCAGGGCACAGCATTTTTGAGGAGCGAAACACAGAGTCTCTCCTCCACACAGGTCACAGTAATTCAGCCAGAGAAATTCCCAAACTTCCCCCTGCAGCCCAGCCAGCCCTAGGCTGTGGCAGTGGCAGATGTTTCCAGATCAGCCCTCTTCCTGCCACTCCCCCCCTCTCCCTCCAAACACTGCTTCATCCTTCATCCACAGTCTTGTTTCCTGGACCAGCTTCCTTCCAAGAAGCACCTCCTCAGGACACTCACACACCAACTACCTCCTAGAAATGGGTTCAAATCATGCATCTAAGAAACAGCAAGCCTCCCCTGGATAATATTGCTCAGTGGTTAGAGAGTTGGCCCATGCACAAAGGGTCATGGATTCTATTCCTGGTCAAGGGCACGTACCTGGGTTGCAGGTTTGATCCTCGCCCCAGTTGGGGCCCATGTGGGAGGCAACCAATAGATGTGTCTCTCTCACATCAATGTTTCTCTATTTCTTCCTCTCTCCTCTTCCTCTCTCCCTCCTTGCCTCCTTCCCTTCCACTGTCTTTAAAAATCAATGGTAAAAATATCCTCAGGTGAAGATGAACGAGAAAGACAGAAAAAAGGGAGGGAGGGAGGGAGGGAGGGAGGAAGGGAGGAAGAGACGGAGGAATGATTCTTATATATAACTAGTAGAAAAAGAGCACATCTAATCACTGTATATTAGAGATAATGGTATAGCCTGCTTATAGGAACTCAATAACTGGAAGTTGTTACTATTATTAGTGGTGGTATTTAAGCTACTCAACACAAGTCATCTATGCAATACTGGTACATGATCAGGGAAGGAAGGAAGGAAGGAGCAAGCTTGTCCCATCCCTAGCAAGTTGTTTGTCAGTTGCCCACCCCTCACAGACAGGAACACGGCCTGAGGAGAGGGGCTTATTTGCACTGTTTGCAGGGCCTGGAATGACACTTGGCACAGATTGGGCTCAGCAATGTTTCCTTAAGGAAAGAATTAGTCAATTAATGACCAATCAATGCATGACCCTCACCTCCATCACCATGGTGGTGGAAAACTGGCCCCAGGTTCTCCACTTGCAGCCCAAGGAAGACCCAGGGCCTCCTGGATGTATGTTCTCATGTCAAAATCTTAGGGACACGTGGGACTTTACAGAGAACTTGGGGCATCATGCACTCCCACAGGGAGCAGAGTAAAAGCACCACCCACCCCAAGTCATGTCTCCAAAATGCAAACACCTCCGCTGCCCTGCCCTGCTCTCCTCTGTCACGTTTCCCTAGTAAACCATCGTCTTTTCCTTGACTCCACACCTCTCTCCTGCCAGTCCTGGGGTTCTCAGCTCCCCTTTATAGGAAAACTTCTCAAAAGAGTTGCCACACCCCTGGCTCCAGTTCTTCACTTCCCAGTGACTGCACAATTACACCAAGGACATCCTCATGGCTCTGTCCTTACCACCGGGATGGAGTTCTTCGGAGAGCCCTCAGCTCTTCAGGGCATTTTACCTTCATAACTTGAGTCCTGCATTTGGTCCTCTGTCCCCTGAGAAGGAATCAACTAAATTCCAGAGTGTTTTTCTCACCAACTACAAGGTTGGGGGTAGGAGGTAAGGCAATGGCATAATAAACTGCACTATCTTGGTATACTTAGAGCTCAAGAAATTTCTCCAAGTAAATAAAACACCCAGCAAGTCCAGGCTTGGCGACTTCCTTAGTGGGCGGACTGTCATTATGTGGTTTAAGTCTACCCAGTGCCTTCCTGGGAAAGAACCTGGCTGCTGCCCAACCCCGCTCCCCATTAGCCGGTCTCAGCAGGGGCCCTCATGCCCATCTCATCAAGGTTTCTTTTGAGCATCTCTGTGGTCCTGGGGCCTTGGCTGACATGGTCCCAGGACCCAGGACCCCTGAGCCACTCTCCAATACCAGGCTCTCTAATTAAGAAACCACTGTTTTCTAGCAAATCCTTTTCTATTGGTCTCAACATGCCTATTCATGTCTTCTCTTTTGCTTAAAGACTCTGTTTGGAGTATTTTGGGCACTGTAAAAGAGAGAGAGAGAGAGAGAGAGGGAGAGAGAGAGAGAGAGAGAGAGAGAGACCCCCCCAAACTCATTCATGATTTCAGGTTTCTAGCAATTTGGTTACAGGTGAGTCTAAGTTTATGTTTACATGTGTTTGGAGGACTTACTATGTGAAATTAATAAGCATATTGAGTAGTTAAGCTACTTTAGAAAAGAGAGAACATGAGAACATTAACTTTATGGAAATGCATGATACTAAGGGAGAACATGTCCTAACTAATCATCAAAATACAGCCAGCAGGACTCATCAGAAATACCTTCCTAGCATTGCTGCATACACCTGGAAATGATAAAAGTATGTTACTTCAAAAGATCTCTATATCAATCCCTCATTTATCCAGAAAGCACTTAATTTGATGCCCTCAAGTATGTAAAATAGTCAAAACCCTCCAAAGCTTTTGGAACAGCCACAATGGAGGCCACACACCCATTCTTCCAAGTCCAAACACGTGGCTCATCTCTATGCTCTTAAAAATCCACACTTGGTGCTACTTGAACTTATCGTAGGCATTCTAATAAGCTCGACTGGAAGGAGCAACCCAGAGACCAGTGACAGATCAGGTAAGGCAGGTCCACTGTGGCACCAAGAGTGAGGACCACGAAGGAGGAGGGTGGGAACAAGCCACGGCTGCCGGGGCAGACACCTCCACCTGCCTCAGACGCAAAGGCTCCCCAAAGGGGCGTGGCCGTGCCTCTCCCATCTGAATTGTCTGATTTTCAGCTCTGCCTGGTGCTCTTTCATGTCCCAATGAAGAGTCTCATTGCAATGACTTATAAGCTCAAACACTTGCCCACCTGCCTAGCACCGAGCGAAGATCAATCAGAACTGATTCTCATTCTTATGGAAGCGTGACCATTGGAAAGATAAAGCAACCAATCACAGCAAGTTCAACAGGGACACAGGGCAGCAAGGAGTCAGCCTCAGAGCAGGGGCTGCGGCAGAGAGTGCAGTTCCCACATCGGGATGTTCTCTGTGGCCGCTAGCTGAGGTTACTGCTGGAAGAATTCAGAGCCTGGATGGGGGTGGACTGGCTGCACCGTTTAAGGTCCCTCCCAATCCCAAGATGCCCTGCTTCTTTCAACGTCTTTAGCACCTGCCAGATGCCCAGGACCCAAGGAGATGTAGGACCCAGAACACCTGCAACACACAATTGAGAGTGTTACCCACACTAGAGGCCCTCAGAGCCAGGGCTCCGAGGACAGAAAGCCCTTCCCAGGGGACAGCCCTTTCCAGGAAGAAGAGAGTCAGTCAGACAGACTCAGAGCGGATCCAGCCACCTTTCTGGGTTTCACGGAGCAGAAAGGTTATGTGATAGCCTCTGGGCTCCTGCTCACACACATGATTCCACTTCCTTGGGGCTGGAGGGAACACTCGGAGGGTCTAGAGACTCAGCCTTTGGGCCACACGTTACCTACTTCTCACGTGATTACTTCTAGGGAATGCTAGTGTTCTTTTTTAACGCTGTCCATTCTAGTCAGTGATGCTTTAAGTTGCTCACACATACAGCTAAATGACAGTATGTAACAGGAATCGGAGACCTGCCCTTTGCACTGGGCTGGAGGGGAGACAGGCACACCTAGCCAGCTGTGGACTGCTGTGCTTCTCATGTGTGTTTAGCACATTTGGGGGTGACCGGGCTGAGCTTTCCTTTCTGCAGCAGCTCTCAATTCGCACTCTCTGTTCCTACTCAGTGTGAAACAGAGGCTGAGTCCTCATGGGGACAGAAGTGCCTTTAACGCAGGGATGTACATTAGTCAGGC